GGGGGGGTACGGAAGTGACTTACGTTCACATCGCCCAGGAAGGGGATTTTCTTTATTCTACCCGCGCCCCGCAACACCTCAGGCTCTCTTTGTCCAATGCTGCAGACGTGCAGGCGGTTGGGTGCCTCAGCCACCCACATCTCCTCAGAGTCCAGTAGGGAAATTGCTCGTGGAAAGCCACGAAACTGTATTCCGGCAGATGAGGGAAAAAGGACAAAAAGACACAGTAGAATGGGGGTTGTAGAAAAGGGTGGAGGACTCATTCTGAGAGAAGGGGTGCAAGTATGTCGAGAAGTAGAAATTGCACATAAGGGGGACTTAAAGTGTGCGTGTCCGACTTATTAGTCGTCGGAGGTTACTCAGAACCGACGCCGGCGCATGTAAAAATGCAACGCCAGGGCTGACGGCAGCAGCAGTGGGAATGACATTTATGGAGATCGCAGGTGCCATACGAGGTTTGTAAAATGCACCGCGTTAATCAGTAGTTTAGTACATATTGCCTAGCCTTTTCTGTGTGAAGATATAGGCTGTGCTTCCTACAAGTGAGCTGTTTCGGCATCCTATACGACTGTCAAATGCCCCCTCTAGCTCATGGCTGATATAGTGGAAGATGACATGAGTTGGCCTGATCGGTCACTGTCTCGGTAATGCGTCTGAGTATTCAAAAATGCCCGCCGTTCGCAGGTAAATTAGTCCGCTACCTGATAGCGTTACTGGTTTCACCCAATTCGCCTGCAGCTTCTCTAGTCTTATGACTGAACAAGTAGTGGTTTAGGAGACCAAATTGGGAGGATTACTTTTCGTTTGTATAGTGGAATCTGGAGGTTGCGTATATCCCAGGCCCCAAGAAGGTGATCCTGACTTCCAGTGAAAAAGGTGACATCCTTTGAGACGATGGTCTGTTGTTGCTGCTCTTCCTCTTCTTGTGGACCCTGCATAGAAGAGACCCCATCGCCTGATGGCGACAGATCCAGCAACTCAGAGTTGGCTTCGGCCTCTAATCCATCTCCCTGATCGGCGGCTGGACAGATGTGGACAGCCGATTGAAAACCAATGGGGCTAATGGAATCAGACAGACTAAAGTCGTCGTCTTCGTCATCATCATCTGAGCGCTCGGAAGGGATTGTGAGAAACTGGTCCTGAGTTGGTTCGTTTCGAAGGGAATGAAAGGACTTGAGAGTGAGGACAGCACTTTTGTGGTAGTGGTTGGACAGAGCAACTTCTGTAGGAGGTGCACGCGCATCGTAAACATTGACAGGCCCGTGGAAGGCAGTTGCTGCAATTAAGTTGGTGTCCAAGAATTCGGAGCACAAGACTGCAGAGCCCAGTCTACAAGACGACAGAGTTAATAAACCATGGTTACTTAAATAAGTAGATGACACTAAGAAGGTCGAATAATTTCTAAGGCGCTGCTTACTTGAATTCGGTGAGGGGTGATCTCATTGTCC